GTGAGCACGCAAGTATGATCAATTTTGGCCATTCTGAATACCTATAGCTTGCTCCTTCGTCGCCCATAGTCTTGAGGGAAAATGTTCTCGTCTCGCAAACAAGGACTCCAGAGTATGGTCCAGATCGCTAGCCCACTGTCATTACAACAAGACGGAACCTATTGATGGGGTGCTCATGCGTAAGAGTTTTTACGGGCTTGTTGCGCGTGTATTCTTTCAGAGCATTTCCTTCCTCTCACCAAGTCTTGATGCTACATACAAGTAGTCATGGTAGTTCCTGGAATCATGTGCTTATTGTGCTCGCTGGCGGGCCGAACCTTAAGCCTGACGCTTGAACAAGCCATTGCCACGACCTGGTGTTGGTTGGTCAGTACCAGTAAGAAAATTCACATACAAACACAACTCTAGCAGACTATAGATAGCCAACCTCAGCAACATATTTTGAGGCAGGCTATGGACGAAGATAAACAGTGTTAAAGCATGTCATTACGTCCGGGGCAAGTCGATGTCAATTCAACTATCTCCGCACCGGATTTTCGGATCATCACGACACTGAAACACACGCTGTTCAACACTCAAGATGCCGAGCCAGACTCGAGAACCGAGGCATTGATACGCCAGTGGAGGGACATCACCACGAGACTCTTTGCGCTGCATACACGGCGACTGCGCGAGGCTGCGGAGGCATGTGGCTGGACAGATGTCGCGACGAGGCTTACGCCCCCGGCTTCTGTTGTTGCCGTAGCGGATGAGGAAGAAAAGGAAAAGCCTTCCTCCTCGTCAAGTACAGACAAACCTTTCAATATACAAGTCCTCGTCGAGAACGCGGTGGCGGCGGCAGCGGCGGCAAAAGCAGGAGGAACATCATCTCCCTCACACGGTCCCCGGGCAGGGTATCTACGAGATTTCCGTGTCCGCGTCCTGATTTCCCGTGCCGGCGAGGTTAGCGTGGAATGCACGGCGATGGGCGAGGACCGACCACTTTCAACCCTCACCGACGCTGTCGACATGTACACGTCGTGCCCGTTTACGTCGACCGTGCCTGGACATCAAGGACAGGCCGCAGCCGGGCTCTCAACACCACCACCACCACCACCACCTCAACAGCCACAGCCATGCCACGTCACAATCGACGCCCAACCAACACATCCCACACTGTTTACGCGGCACAAAACCACCGTGCGCACAGCGTACAACGACGCTCGCGGGCGTGCCACCGATTCACCGCTCCCCCTCCCGACCACGCCGCCCACGACGCGCGAAGTCCTCCTCTTCAACGACGACGGACTCGTCACCGAGGCGTCCCTATCGGCGGTCTATTTCCTGCGCCGCAGCGGGGCCCGTCGCTGGGTGACACCGCGCTCCGATGCCGGTGGCATGCACTCGGCGACTAGGCTCTACGCGCTCGAGGCGGGTTGGTGCGACGAGGGGAGTGTGTCCGTTCAAGACGTCCAGGATGGCGAGGTCGTCTGGTTGAGTAACGCTGTCAGGGGCTTCTTTCCTGGCGTGGTGAGGCGGCGTGAAAACGCCTGACAGGGGCACCTAGTATATACTGAGTATATAGGGGGAAAAAGAAAGAAAGTGGAAAAGGGGTTTCTCTTTTCTTCCTCTAGTTGTAGCTCTCCATGTATGAGCATAACCTATGGTTTAAAAAAAAAAGGTCCAGGTGTCATGTTCTAATTCATGCTTGTTCTTTTTATCAAATTTCAAGTCGAGTCATGCTCTACTACTTCAGCACTCGAAATACATAAAATCCGTCAAGGTCTTTTCTACCTGCTTTTCGGGGGTTTGCAGGCTCACCGCACCGGAAGCTCTTTCTTTGGCCCATTCTCTTTGGCTGCGCCTTTATCCGTCGCGGCACCCACTGTTACCGTCTTCTGGTCCGCTGGGACACCTCTAAATAGCAACCCCTTTCTGCTGAAAAAGTCATGAACCACCTCGTCGCTCACCTGTTTTCGCCTTTCCTGAAAATCGCCCACGTACTGCTGCAACTCCTTGATGCAGAGTGCTTTGAGCTCTCCAGTCATCATCTCGCCCTTCTCGTACTGTTCCTTGATCCGCGCCAATTCATCATCGTCTTCCAAGAAAAATGTGAGGTACTTGTACGGCACGTCGACGTCCGTTCTTCCACCCAGCTCCCGTTGTTTCTCTGCAGTATCCTGCCCACCGGAGAATGCGAAGCGGTTGATCTTCTTCTTGATCGCATTAGGTGTATCGGTCAAGAATATCGCAGACGAATCGACGCTGGCAGACATCTTTGTCCCTTCACCTTGTAACGCTGGAAGAAAGCGAGAGTGGATGAGGCATGGTTTCTCATATTTCATCTTCTCCGCTATATCTCGACAGACACGGAAGTAGGGATCTTGGTCAATTGCGCACGGGATTAGGCACAGGATCCGCGGCACACTTTTTGCATCGGTGCCAAAGACATGTGGGAAACTCGTTGCGAACGAAGGTGCAGACTGTGTGGCGGGAAAATGGAATTCACCAATATTGTTGCTGTCATTGAAACCAAATGCCCCTTTTATCTGGTTGAGCGTGACATGTTTCGCTGCAAAGCAAACATTGCGATAGAATGCGCCTCCCATATACTCAAAATCCGAGAAAATGAACGTCTTTTTCGGGTCGAAGCCCAGCGCAATGATGTCTTTGGCATTTTCTCTCGCATATCGAGTTGCATCGTCCATGCTGATGGTTTTGGAGTGCATGAACTTTTCGTCGTCTGTCAACTGGATCACGAGGGGGCAGTCGAAGACTTCTTGTAGCCAGCGCGTGAATTCAAAAGGGACGCTGTGCCCGACGTGCATGCTGTCGCTACTCGGCCCTCTCCCAGTGTAGAGGTAAAATCTTTCACCCTTCTCATACTTGGTCAGGATTTTTTCGAGATCGCGGTGGGATATCACTATTCCACGGCGCATGAATCTGTGGGGTTTTCGGCCAGTTGCCTTTTCGAATCTCTCGAGTAATGCGGGCGAAATTGGCGTGGCACCGAAGTCGCGAATCAACTTGTCGTAGTCGACCGGCTTTATTTGGCCGGACTCATCCACCCCGCCGGATACTTCGAAGGGGGTGATCTTTTGTTCTGTCATGACGAGCGAGGGGTTCGAGGGGTGACTGTGTGCGATGGAAGGGCGGAGACAAAAGGGCAGGATGTGGGAGAAGGAAGATCTTATATAAGGAAGAGGCGAGCTACTAACAGCAGAAAGGAGGGGAGGGATGTTTGCGAGGGCGCCTCAAAGGGAGTAATTAGGAGTTACAAACAGTCTGCCTGCACAGTTGTGACTGGCATGAGTCTTCAGAAATTCACCGTTGTCTGCGGCTGGCGGGCAACCCAATTGCCAATGGGACCAATGGGTACCGTGAAAGGTAGTGGCCCAATGACATGCCGCTGTCGGATATGGCTCTCCGTCCTCCATGACCTGCCGGCCAAGCCATTCTCTCCTCTTCTCTTCCGCCGAAAGTGGCAATTGGGCTCTTGAGCTCGCGTGAGGGTTTCCAAAAAAACTTGCCCTCTCTTTTGCACCCTCACCTTCCGCCCTAACCATCAGCCGTTACTTTAGGTCGATGTCTTCACGCCAGGATGAAAGTCTACGAGCACTCCTTTAATTACGACTACACTTTCCCCGCTGTCACTCTAGCATATTTCCTGCGCTATCCGAATCCTTATTCCAGGCATGTTCTCAGCTCGGATGTGATTGATCGTTACATCGACCCCGAGACAAACCGACTTCATACTGTACGACTACATCTCAAAAAATCAAAAGTACCCTCCGGCATCCTTAAATTCCTCCCTCGCGGCCTTGCCGGCCCAGGTGGCGCTAGTCAGAGCTATGTCCTAGAGAAGAGTACCATTGACATCAACGAAGGATGGATGGAAACGGAGTCCAAGAACATGGAATGGACGGGCATCTTGAGCGTTATCGAACGTCAGACCTATAAACGGCAGCGGCTATCGGATATTGCGTCTTCCAGTTGGTCGAGCGATGATCTCCAACCACAGAAACCCAGAGAGACCACCACCTGCAAAACAGTTGTGACATTCGTATCACACCTGGGCCAACACAAGTTACTGGGCAGGAAAAGACAAGAGCACACTGCCAATGTCGAGGAAGAATCTCCAAAACAAGGACTGTTTGCTTCGTGGTCGACAGCTGGTATTCAGCGGACCATCGAGCTGATTGGAGTGAAACGAACCAAGTCAGCCCTGGTAAATGGAAAAGAAGGAATGAACGTCGTGCTCGAGAGGTTGCGGAATGGTGGCATTGTGGCCGTCCTTGAAGGAATGAGAAGAGATCGGATGGAAGTGTTGGGAGCAGATGGACACTGAAACCAGCTCTCTCGCTTCTGTGGCAAACCCTGCATTGAGCAGCCTCAATTGCAAGCCTCGATTTGATTTGTACTACTAACCTTGATTGATTGATTGATTGTGAGCTAGGCGCTGGGGATATGTGCATGAAATGTGTTGTGAAATGTATGGCGATATTTCGAACAAAAGAGTGATGCGCTGTACCATCGAGGGCTTTGTTGATAGGTATACAATTCAGTCCACTCATCCTTCTAACCACTCCTGTTTGATGGCATCGAAAAGGGCAGCAGAATGTTGCTACGTTGCCCACCATTCATGGTAAGCTCCGCAGGTCCTTCAGTCCAGTCTTTGCTTCCGGCACAGGTGCTGTCTCTGTGGGTATTGGTACAGATTGCCCGCATTCACCTTCGAGCAACCTCACAGGGAAGACACGGCAAAGCATCTACTTCACTCACTTTTCTCTTAGAACCTTACCTGTCCTCTTGGCGACAGAAATGCCCTGAGGTCTCATCTGGAGTCGCTCCTGCAGCCCAAGAATCGCCTCTCTTCGACGCCATCATCTTTCTTCCCTCTCTCCGCCCAGTCACTCGTTCAGCAAATAGTCATTCGTTTTATCGATTCAACAAGGTAGCAGATATTGGTCAGCACGGCTGCTTCCCGTCTCTGGCCATTCTTTCCAACCAGCCGTGGCGTTATGGTCGCGCTCACCTCAATCCTGTGGTTGGCAGCCATATTTCTCCTGAGCTTCGTCAAGGATTCGAACTCTGCACGTCGCTTCGACCGCCGCAGTGACCTCGATTATGTCCCTCCCATCAACGCCTCAGCTGCTGCAGGCTGGTCAGTGCCTCTGCAGGGCAGCAAAACCTGCGATCCTAACAAAGCTTGTGAGATCAATCAAGCTGCGCCGAGGTGACACTCACTCACAGCTCTAGGCACGGATTCACTATCACCCCCGGCTCCTGACAAACCTCTTCAATACCTTGCAATCGCACGCGGCCTCTACATGTATCTGTGCGCAGGTAATGGATCAAGCGAGCCCGCCAAGTTTCAATCACAGTCCACGCAGCTTTACGATGCAGCTCCACTCATCCAAAACCTCCCGAATGAGGCGGCATTTCATGCTCTACCTGCCAAACTGCATGACTTCGACTATGAGCAGCTGAGGAACTCCACTCTGGAATGTATGGGAACCATCGGAACTGTCAACGATACAGCCATAATCACTCTTTTCGATATTGCAACATTCGAAGCCCTTCCATACGAATCCGTGCTTGCACCAGATAACCCTGGTAGCAACAGCAGATGGGCACACTCGGTGAGCCCGAAGGGCGACTGGGACATCTACCGAGTTGAGGTTGCGGGAGGCACTCCGCCTGTTTGTGACAGCCAACGACTCATGGCAGAAGAAGAATACACGGCAGAGTACTGGTTCTTTTACTCTGGGGGAGAAGACATATGGACGCCAAACGATATCATGAAAGAAGCCTTGGTTGATTCGATCGATCTGCCAGCATTCATATGAAGATTTGGGAAGAAACCTGAATGAGAAGATAGCTGTGAACGCAATCAACGGCGTAGCATGTGGGTGAAACATTCGATGATGGATGCCAGTAGAACTCAAGATCATTGCACGGGATTTTACGAGAGATGAGAGGATCGGATTGTATGTGAACAGGCTGCCGATCCGAGACCTCGGATGGCGGAATTGTCTTCTGATCCATGTCATCTCATTTCGTTTCGTTTCATGGGTACGGGAAAACAGGACATTTTTCAATAGGCTAAGATCCGAGCTCGTGAATGAACAGAGCGATAGTGCTAAATACAGTTTCTCGTGAGCCTCAAGCCGCCCCAAGGCTGTCATCGTGCACTAAGCAACTCCCGCCGAATTAGTGGGTTTCTATCCCCGCGAAAAGGGAGTTTTACCGACTCTGGTAACTTAAGCGGCACGAGCGGATGGGCTGCCCGCCATAGCAGCACGTGAATCCTCAAGTCCCCCTCGTCCGTTTCGCCTCAACCTTCGAACTCTCACCCTGCATCCCACACGATCACCTACTCAGTTCGCTGAACCCGTCAACTATCATCCGCAAGTAGCTACGAACAGCCCTGTACTGCTTGCTATTGACCTTATTCACAATATCTCTTCAGTCTTGTTGGTTCCAGCCGGCGTTACCCACCAGAACTTCACCCTAGTCTTGCTGCCATTCATAGGCGCAGGATTACCCACCACTACGCATTCGACTGATTCGTCCCTTGGAGATGCCCAACCACCAATGCAGTGACTACTGGTGACACCTATCTGTGTAGTCATATCCATCTGAGAGGTTCGAGACATTCATCCCGCAGCCTTCACGGTAGGCAGAGTGTGTATCTGCACGCGGTTACTCAACCTCCACCATGTCGTCGGCAATCAACGATGACGAACTCTCCATTTCCCTCCCACAAACCAACTCCAGCCGCTCCAGGCCGTCCCTTCCTACTGTTCTTTCCCCGCCGGCACGTTCTAGCTTGAGCCAGACGCCGATGGCAGAGTCCCCAGGCACTGCCCGCGCAATGCAACGACTACACCAGTATGCCTTCGTGCGCAACATTGGTGAAGGATCGTTTGGTAAAGTCAAGCTTGCGAGACACAAGGTTACGGGTCAAGAGGTTGCAATGAAGACTATCAGTCGACGCAAATTAATCAGTCGGGACATGGCAGGGCGGATAGAGAGGGAGATCCAATACTTGCAACTCCTGCGGCACCCACACATCATCAAGCTCTACACCGTCATAACAACCAAGACAGACATCTACATGGTGCTGGAATATGTTCCCATGGAGTTGTTTGATTACATCGTGAAGCATGGTCGGCTGGGCGAAGCAAAGGCCCGGAAGCTGTTTCAACAGATCATCTGTGCTGTCGAGTATTGTCATCGTCACAAAATTGTCCATCGAGACCTCAAACCGGAGAACCTTCTCCTTGACAAGAACATGAATGTGAAAATCGCCGACTTTGGTCTGAGTAATATCATGACAGATGGCAATTTCTTGAAGACGAGTTGCGGAAGCCCAAACTATGCTGCCCCTGAAGTCATTGGTGGAAAGCTCTATGCTGGTCCTGAAGTCGATGTCTGGAGTTGCGGTGTCATTCTCTACGTCTTCCTCGTTGGCAGGCTCCCATTCGACGATGAGTTCATTCCTGCACTGTTCAAGAAGATTCAGGCCGGGACATTTCACATTCCATCACAAACTCCGCCAGGCGCGGTAAACCTCATCAAGCGATGTTTGCAAGTGCATCCGGTTCATCGCATCACCATACCCGAAATCAGACAAGACGAATGGTTCATGAAAGACCTTCCTGCTTATTTGGTTGATCCCGTGGAAGAATTTCTGGACACCGGAGTCGATCCCACCAAAGCCATCGACCCTCGTCAGCTTGCTCCGGGAAAACCACTTGACGTGGTTGAGAAAATTCACGAGCAAGTCGTTGGCAAGCTTGGTCGTACCATGGGTTATGCGAAGGAGGATGTGAAGGATGCTTTGAGCAAAGATGAGCCTAGTGCAATCAAAGACGCATATCTCATAGTCAGAGAGAACCAGTTAATGATCAGCACTCCCCAATACCGCACAGAGAACCCAGAGCTGGAGTCGTTCATGGCTTCTTCGCCTCCAGTCGAACCAAACTATCCCAATTTCCCCGGCTCGCCACGACGGTTTCAGGATATCGATGTCAAGCCTCTCACTCCAAGTCGCACGGATGCGCACCGAGCTAGTCGGTCACTATCTGAAACTCCATCTTCCCTCAGAGAAGAAGAGAAGCCTAGGATCTCAAATGTTCGCGTCCTGAACACATCACTACCTCATGTTCATGAAGAGCTCCTTCAGATCCGCGAAAAGGCAAAGGCTCATGGTGAAGATCCCGACATGATTCTCCATCCGACACAAGGCCAAGATCAGAAGGACGAAGCCGAAAGCCCCATCCCCGAAGAAATTAAGGATGAACAGGGGAATCCCATTTATCGATCTAAAGAAGAACAGGAGGCCACATCAAGGGCTTTGAAACCACACTCGCGCTCTGTGACGGCTCTAAATTCATTGCGAGAACCGAAAGGCCGACCCGAAGGTATGACGACTTTGCCAACCGACGAAAAACGCCCACCCGCTGCCAAAACCAAGCCTAGACGCTGGCAATTTGGCATCCGCAGTCGAAACCAACCTTGGGAAGCCATGAAGTGCTTGTACGCTGCTCTCAAGGCACAAGGCGCCGAATGGGAAGTTAATCCGTGGCTGCGGCCTGAGTCGATGCCCGATGGTGATGACGAGAAGGATGGTATCCCTCCGCCTCCACCCGATCTAGAACCTGGCCAACGCCACGAGATCCTGCAACAGAGATTCTCATTTGTGGGCGAGGACTACTACATCCCCCGAGATCCTTTCAATATTCGCGCGAGAATCTTGAAAAAGGGATTACTGATGCCTGGTGAAGCGCCATCTGTCTCAGCTCACAGTTCAGCAGTCAGCCTACCCGCAGAAGCACAGACCCAGCTCAAGAGACATATTGAGCAACTGGGCTATGCCTCGGAGGATGTCAAACAGGCGCTCGGGATGAGTTCTCCAAACGGAAGCCAAGCAAATGCGAGGTCACCAGCGAGCAGTGGACATCCCTCCCGGCAAAATACGGGAGGTGAGCCAGCCCTTCACAGCCAGGATGCGTTTACAGGACCAGGACAAGTATCCATGAGCAGGCCCGACAGTCTTTCGGCACTCAACAAGAAAATCCCAAGCGAGCACATCGGAGTCTGGGTGTTTATCGACATTCAATTGTATACCTTAGAGCAGGGAACGTTTGTTGTGGATTTCAAATGCGATGGATACCAGAATGTGATTTGGCACGATTTGAAAAAGGAGCGAGAGAGGAATAAGACACCCACCAGCAGCAGCACAGTGACGAGCCCGACGAACAGCAGACCCACCAGCGGGTTCGGAAACATCAGTCACACCAGCTCTGATCGGCTTGATGAAATGAGCGGCGAAGGCTACTGGAAACCGGTCAGCAAGCGCTACAAGAACGTGGAAAAGGAGATATCCAGCCCTTATCCCTATCTCGACGTGGCTAGTGACTTGGTGGCTCAACTAGTAAGTCTGAGTGCTAAGGCTGCGCAACGGTCCTGACTGACTCTTAGTGGGGCGGCGCTGCTTGAATTTCTGTCTCATTTCTTGCCCGCTTTTCTGGCGGATGTATACGACTTCATGACAGTGACGGCATTTGCAGCAGCAGGACGTGCTGGTTTGCGGAGCACAGGGAACATTGGCGGAGAGAGCATGAGCGGAGTGAGAATACCTAAGGATACCCTTGCTTAGCGATCGAATGACGGACCACGGAACCAGGACGCTGTCTCATGCGCTGACAGGACAGGATTTCAGAAGCCTGAAGACGAGAAGTTGTTAGAACTAACACCTAAGACGATATACATCAAGCGACTTAGGCAGTCACAATTACTCAATGATGAAGAGATGATACTTGCAGGCATGCGGTTTGCTATCTCATCGAGGTCAATGGAGTCTATGCAAGTGCCTTTTTGAGTACCGAGTACTTTGTAGAAACATAGAACCGCGTGAGACGTGGCGATGGACGTGTAAACCACTTTAAGCCTTGACGCGTTGGTGAGAGTCACGTGTATGCCAAGAAATGCGTGAGACGGTGGCATCCACTCGTGCAACTTGTAAGTTTGTTGCCGCCAAAGTCATTTCCCCAGTCAACGAACCGTCGTCGTTCCTCATATTCGTCCATCCTGATTCTTCACCAACGGAAGCCTCTAGGACCAAGAGGCAGTGGCCAAATAACGGATCCCCTGGATCGGACGCCATCACGCTGACAGAGACTCACGAATTGAACTCAGATATGGGCTTCGTCTCGAAACTGAGATCCTGGTCTCAGGAGCTCACCCCGTATTTCGTCTACCTGCTTCTAGTCGCAACTCTAGGACCTCTACTCTTTGGTTATCATTTGGTATGTCTTCTGTCTTTGACTGTCAAAGTCTACCACATGTCGTGTCGAACAGTTTGCTGAACCAACTCTTCAGGCCGAACTCAATGCCCCTCAAGAGGTCATTACTTGTGCCGCCAAATCCATTAGATCTAAGGAGCGCCCATCAGCAGCATTGGGTGGACTACCACAATGCATACCCATGAACTCAACCCAACTTGGGCTTGTGTCGTCCATTTTCACATTGGGTGGCCTAATCGGTGCTCTCGCTGCCGGCCCTTTGTCCGCACGGTATGGTCGTCTGCATACGATGCGTATCAATACCTTCTTCCTAGCGCTGGGTCCTCTCGCCGAGGCACTCGCTCCTAACATTGGTGCTCTGTCGACGGGCCGCTTCATTTCGGGTCTAGGAGCAGGTGTCTCCGTTGTTGTGGTACCCATCTACATTTCCGAGATTGCTCCACCCAAGGAAAAGGGCTTCTTCGGTGCCTTTACGCAAATAATGACGAACATGGGTATCTTTACCACTCAGCTTCTGGGTTATTTCCTAAGCCATGGCCAAATGTGGCGAGTTATCCTCGCGATTGCAGGCATGATCGGTGTGTTGCAGTTTGCAGGGCTGGTTTTCTCCGTCGAGAGTCCCAAGTGGCAGGCTGGCCATGGAGAACCAAGACAAGCGAACAACAATCTGCGACGTATCCGGGGTCAGAAAGCCGACATTGAGGAGGAAGTAGAAGGTTGGGGGTTGGCGGACGTTGACGAGGGACACGGTTCGTGATCCGGGATATGTTCTTTGTTAATGTCTGACCCTCGAACAGAAGAAGAACGAACACTACTTGCGAATCCCGACCATGAGTCGCCTCTGGACAGCAATTTGCCTTCGAGAGGCAATGCTCCAGAGCCAAGGGGAATCCTCGCGGTGCTCCGAGACCCGACCAATAATCGCGCAATTCTTGCGGTCGTTGTGGTTATGCTGGCACAGCAGCTTTGTGGAATCAACAGCATCATCATGTACGGCGTGTCTCTACTCGCGGACTTACTTGCCTCCAATTCCGCCCTGCTCAATATCTTTGTGAGCATACTCAATATTGTGGCCACTACAGGCTTCGCCCCCCTTGCAGATGTGCTGGGACGCAAGCCATGCATCCTCACCTCAATTGCCGGTATGGGTGTCTCATCTGTCCTGCTTGCCATAGGGATCCGCAGCGCTATTCCGATTCTTTCCGCAGTGTCAGTGCTTCTGTTTGTGGCCAGCTTTGCTTTTGGTCTGGGCCCAATACCTTTCATACTCGCTTCAGAACTGGTTAGTCCAGAAGCGGTTGGCGCAACTCAATCATGGGCGCTGGCAGCAAATTGGATCTCGACATTTGTGGTCGCTCAGTTCTTTCCAATGGTGAATGAGAGATTGGGAAAGGGGGTAGTATACTTTGTGTTTGCAGCCATTGCGGCAATTTCCTTTGTGTTTGTGGGCTGGTATGTGCCAGAAACCAAAGGGAAGAAGGACGTTGACGAAGTTTGGGGAAGGCCGTCCAGGAGGCAAGATTGAAGTGTCGAAAACGCTGGGGAAAACCGATCTGGGACCTCTGGTGTGGTTTCTGGACATGTTCTTTCTAGAGGAGCTACAGATGGGTGTCTGTTTCAACGGAATATCTGACAGGTTCTGGCGGTCCATGTCATGAGCTTCTCAGCTGTCAAATGGCGGCGTGTGAACGCTAGGCGTCTTTCTCGAATGCGAAGCATCTCAGACGAGTGGTGCCAAACCCATGGCAGCCGTGTCTTCCGGCTCACCGTATGAAGGAACAGCTGCTACGTGCAAGAATACTCTGGTTCCGTGGAGACCTTACCTCAACTCGAGGTATACATGCTATCTCGGTCTCTATCGTCAGTTGCATCACTTTAGCCCTACTGCACATTTCAAGGTGCTGCTCGGAATTGGGTACAAGAAAAGGGCACAAATCGATCCGTCTCATTGGATCCTCCCGAAACTCCGCATTTTGCACAAGGAGCACTTTCGTCAGAAACATTTGCTTACCTCGGAGTATTCAAGATATTAGATTTGAGGTTGCAAGAGGCAAGCTGGAGCAGTTGAACCTCCCGAACTTTGGCGCGAACTAGACACAATCAACGGTGCCATGCCCTCTGTTCATGGTGGGCGACGGGTAGTTCGTCGACAATCCCGATATCTATATTTAAAAGCATTCGCCAGGCTCGAAATCATGAGAATGTTCTCCGCAGGAGATGTGCGATCAGATCAACCATCCAGTGGAGCTTTCAGCAGATGTATTGCCCCCAGTCCTCGCACGTCAGTGGGAAAGACGGTCCAATATGAGGGTTGTTTTACAGACATTATTGCCACTAACCATGTTACCCCTGCCTCATCAGGGCTTATCTCTGCGGGATACCAAACATTTACAGCAGTGAATGAGAGGGTCCAAAGAATCGCATGGGCACTCACTGGGGAGTGAGTCTCATGTTGACCCAGAGAACCCGGCGCTCATACCCGGCCTGCTTCCCTGAAGACGGATAAGACCGACTGTCTCTCGCTAACTTCGCTTGACTAGGTCACAATGGTATGCGAGGACACTGGGCTATCAAACTATGTGATTGACCGACACGCCCTCATCAGATTATCATTATTGGCTTGACGGAGGTAGTCATCATTGTTATCACCTACCGGTAAATCGGGGAACCCTGCTCCTGGTAATCGAGCCATTCAAGGCATCCCCTTATCATGGCCTTCTCTCTTCCAACAGAGTCGGACGGTGGAAAGAAAGAACAAAACGACAATTCTCGCACTTATCCTTCACTCTGCACACAGCGCATTCCTACATAAAAACCCTTGAAAAGCGCGGCGACAATGATATCTCCGTCACCCGATACGATTCCCATTATCGACTTCTCACGGTATTCTACCGATCTACCTTCCCTTGCGCGGGAGATCAAGCAGGTCTCCGCGACATGGGGCTTTCTCTACCTCAGAAACCACGGCTTACCGCAATCAGACATTGATCGCATGTTTGACATTAGTGCGACCTTCTTCAAGACCACCCCTCGCGAGGAAAAATCCTCGACGCCGTGGAGCAGCATTGTCAATGCCGGATACGATGCGAAGACCGGCACGGAAGGATATTTCAATGAGCACGGTGCGAAAGAGCGTGTTTCGGCCGTGGATGAGAAGGAAGTCTTCGTGATACGGAAGCAGGCGTCTTATGACCAGCCAATGCCACCATCCCTGAAGAAATTTAATCCTGAGATTCAGGCATTTATGGGAGAGGTGCACAAGAAGATCGCCGTCCCGTTGCTCTCCTGCCTCGGGGTCGGCTTAGGACTGTCAGCCGACCGCCTTCCGCAGATCCATCAACATGAAAGCCCATCTATGACCACTCTCCGGCTCATCCACTACCCTGCGCTTCCACCCAGCGACACGGCCAAAGTTCGGTTGGGTTCGCACACAGACCAAGGAGTGATTACAATTCTCTTCCAGAACCTCGTCGGCGGCCTCCAGATACGACCGCCGAAATATACGGGTCCTATTAAGGATAACGAGATATGGCTCGACGCCCCGGTCATTCCAGGGGCGGTGCTCATAAACATCGGCGAGACAATGACGTTCTTTTCAGGCGGACTTATGAAATCCACGCTCCACCGTGTCACGCGATCCCCGCTGCCGGAGGACCAGGGTAAAGAGAGGTTCTCCATGGCGTACTTCTGCCATCCGAACATCGATACACTGCTCGAGGTGCTGCAGGGGATTCAAGGGGAGGACGGGAAGGAAATACAAAGAAAGGAGCCGCCGATAAGCTGTGTCACGGGCCAGAAGGTCCGGACGGTCAAGGAGTGGATCGAACACAGACATTCAATGGGCCGCTTGGAGAAGGTGAAATGAGCTGCGTTAAACTCGGGGGACTGGTATGTAGGGATTATGGTGTGCAGGAAATGTCCGGGTGATTCGTGCCCGGACAAATCGTTGACATCACCCTGGTCAAATACCTGACTTAGGTCTACCAACAGCGAGGACAACGGCATCAAACTCGAAGCTGCGTATCAAAACAGAGGTGTTCTATCCATTTGCTTTGGATTTTGTTACAAGTTCTTGAAAACCACTTCGAGCCCAACGTATCTGTCTTCCCGGCACACATGTGATGTGGAGTCTCTCATTTGAAGATATGAATGGATCCAAAAGGACGTGAAGTGATCGTCAGCCTCATAGCCTGTGCGATCAAGTAGCCCGAGTCAGTCAATGGCAGGCAATCCTTGAGCCATTGCGAAAGATCACGTACTGTATACTGGGTATGAGAAGCCTTGTTGACCCAACTTGGAGAGAGTAAAAGGCTACGCTAAACTAAAACCGGTTATATGATGATGGAGCTGCCTAATCGGGTATCTGGACCAATGAAGGGGCTCCAGGTCTGCGGTCGACGACTACGGTAACCACTCCTACCAACTTTACTCTCGGCAAGAAGATTACGGGACGGGTCGATCATTCCTCTATTTCCAATTTTGTTTGTTCTGCTCTCTACTTGGACATCCACCTCGGCGTCAAAGAAACCGCAAAGGGGAAACCTGTTCCCAATGTAGCATCCATTTACCGAGGCTATCAAACTTCCATCCTGGGACGTCACTTGACCATGTTAAATATCAACCAGGGGTTGAAACGGCGTTTTAGCCGTTTTCGACTGAGTACCGCGATCAACGACATCTTTTCTGAGTATTGCTTTTTTCACAAGCCATAGCTGAACCATGGCCTCTCTGGAAGGATACAACGTCGCCATCACGGGAGGGGGATCTGGGATTGGACTCGCCACGACGGTCGAGCTGTGCAGTCGCGGAGCCACGGTCTGGGTTGCCGAGTTGACACCACATGTCCCCGCGAAGCTCGAGTCGTTGGTTCAGGCCAAAAAAGTGTTTTTCCACGGAGGCGTCGACGTGGCCAGCCGGGACGCCTGTGTCAGGTTCCTGGACGAAGTCGTGGCGAAGGCCGGCGGCCGGCGCCTCGACTGCCTCGTGAACAACGCAGGCATAGGCCCCGCCGAGGGACCGATCGCGACTGACGAGACGTTTGACAAGATCGTCGACGTGAATCTGCGCGGCACCTGGAACTATGGCACGCAGGCGCTGCGGATCATGGAGAAGCAGGAACCAAAGGGGCCGTGGGGCACCAGGGGCACCATCGTCAATGTCGCGAGTATGTCGGGGCTTTTCGGCCACAACAGTCTGGCTGTGTACACGGCGACGAAGCACGCCAGTGTCGGGCTCGTCAAGGCGTGGAGCAAGGATTTTGCCCCGCTCGGGATACGGATCAATGCCGTCGCGCCGTGTGAGTGCTCCAGATTTCCATTCTTCGTCTGATGTACATATCCACGCACGCACGCATATATATCTATAGAACCTAACATCCATGCACAGCGGTGACCGAGACCGAAGGTGTCAAGATCTGGTTCGCCCAGAGGAAAAAGGATTTTAACGAAGACATCAAGCCACCCCCGGCAGGACGCTTCGCACAGCCGTCGGAAATTGCAAAGGTCATTGCCTTCCTCCTGGGTGAGGACTCGAGTTATATCAACGGACAGACGATTCCGATCAATGGGGGCGCGGTATGAGATCGAAGGATACAGTGCAGGTTTAGAGACAGAGGCACTCCGAGAGTCAAATCATCTGGTGAGCTCAGTGATATGTGTTGAAGTAAGCTCGGGCGTTGTCAGATTCAAACAATGAAGTCACTTTCAATACCGAGTACAGAGCCATGGACGAGGGGGGATATTGGCAGTTCTCCCCATGTATATTCTGGCAATAGGCTGACTAGGTCTGGTCTCTGAATGCAAGTGTGCTGCACCCACGGGACTTGTTTACCTTACTCCTTTATATTCAGTTTGAACGAGATTACTCATTGGCTCATTACTTTGCTGCGCTCCCATCAGACGTGCATTAAACGCCTCTCGTCTTGCTCTGCCCCTGTGCCGAGATGTTGGTCCTCCAGCGTGCAACTTGGAGGAAGTCGACTCTGCGCCTCGTAGTGAACTCTGACTCACGGGTTACTCCTCAGACCTTTGAGACTTGGCCTTTGGAACTGCTGCCGATCGGGTTACACGTCGAATGCTCGGCGGCTTCTCAAAACATCGCTGCATACGACTCTCGTCGGTCAGAACACGCACCCTCGGCCTTCGCTTACTGCCCGACGCGTTTGCCTTGGAATCTTGAACACTCTTGGTGAAGACCAAGCCAAGCCCGGACAGACGGTCATGGGCGTAGATGATCCGAGGGACTCAACCCGAATAGGGAACCGAGGACATATCTCCCAAGTACCATCGATGGATTAAGTGTCCGAAATCTTGAGGTATGTATAGATAAAGGACATAATAGCAGGTCTTATAGCCACTTTGGTGATAGTCTTCACGGTGATTGTGATTGTGAGTGTGACATAACTACAAAATTCTACCGCTATGGCCGTCGCCGTCCAACAATCCGTCAACCCGCAAAGTGCGGCCGCTCTCGAGCATCGCAGCCTGACAGAGCCTGAGAAGGTTGAATTGGACTTTGAGGCACTCAGACGAAAGTATCAGGAAGAGCGCGACAAGCGACTCCAGAACGGCGGTATCAACCAGTACACCATCATCCAGCCGGCGAGCAAAGCGGCCGAAAAGTTCCTCGACGACCCGTACGTCCAGCCTGGCTTCACTCGTGATCCGATCCAACTGGACACAGATGTGATCATCATCGGCGGAGGTTTCGGCGGTCTCATGTGCGCGGTGCGACTCTTGGAGCAAGGCGTCACGAATTTCCGCATTATTGAGAAGGGCGGTGATTTCGGCGGTACATGGTATGGTTCCTCCATTAGTCTCTGTTCTTGTAGCTTGGCTGAACATTGTCAGGTACTGGAACCGATATCCCGGAGCACAGTGTGACATCGAAGCGTATGTGTACATGCCACTACTTGAGGAGACCAACTACGTGCCCTCGGAGAAATATACCCATGCGTCTGAGTTGCTCGACCACGCCCACCGGATCGGAGCCCACTACGGCTTGTACGACAAAACCATCTTTCAAACCGAGACTGTAAAGCTTCAGTGGAACGAGGCGACGACTCGCTGGGACGTCGAAACCAACCGAGCGGATATCATCTCTACTCGGTTCATCATCCCCGCAGCAGGACCTCTGCACCGACCAAAGTTGCCGGGTGTCCCAGGCATAGACTCTTTCAAAGGTCACTTTTTCCACTCATCCCGCTGGGACTATGACTATACCGGAGGCCATAATCGTGGAGATCTATCCAAGTTGGCTGATAAACGGGTTGGGATCATCGGCACTGGCGCGACGGCCGTACAAATTGTCCCTCACGTCGGCGCAGCTGCTAAGCAGCTTTATGTCTTTCAGCGCACGCCATCCAGTATCGACGTCCGAAACAATCGTCCGACAGACACCGAGTGGGCGAGGTCGCTTCCCAAAGGATGGCACCAAGCGCGAATGGACAACTTCGACACCGTTATTGCTGGCGGTTACGTCGAGGAAGACCTGGTCGCCGATGGATGGACGGACATCTTGAGAAACCTCTGGCCTCGCAAAAGCGACAGTGAATCTGCCACCGTGGACCCGGCTCAGATCGCCGCCAAGATGCAACTGGCCGACTACCGGAAAATGGAGTCCATCCGCGCCCGCGTCGACAGTATCGTGGAGGACAGGCAGACGGCCGAAGCCCTCAAGCCGTGGTACAACCAGATGTGCAAGAGGCCGTGTTTTCACGACCAGTACCTCCAGACGTTCAACCGGCCGAATGTGAAGCTGGTTGACACGAAGGGCAAAGGCATCGACAAAATCACTCCCGAGGGCGTCATGGCGAACGGCATCGTCTATGAGATTGACTGTCTGATCTATGCGACGGGGTTCGAATTGGCGACCGATTGGGCACAGCGGACCGGAATGGAGATCTACGGACGAGACGGGATCACGACGACCGAGAAGTGGAAGGACGGATTCCAGACGTTCCACGGCTGGACCAGTCGCGGGTTTCCCAATTGCTTCTTCGTCAACAGCGTCCAGGCGGCCGTGTCGCCAAACTTCCTCCACGCGACCGCCGAGCAAGCAAGACACTTTGCCTACGTTGTCCGACGCGCCTGTGAGAGGAACGTCCGCACCCTCGAACCCACCGCCGAGGCCGAGAACGCGTGGGTCCAGCTCTGCGTCGAGCTGGCGGAACCGCGCCGGAAGTTTCTCGAGGACTGTACCCCCGGTTACTACAACAACGAAGGCGACTTTGACGACTTGAAGACTCGGAGGAACGTCATCTATGGCGGTGGCTCGCCGGCGTTCTTTGAGCTGACCAGGAAGTGGAGAGCTGACGACCGCTTCGAGGGTTTGGAGGTGACCTATCTTGAGGAGGAGAAGTGATGGACACAGCTATAGATAGTCAAAGTCCAGCAAGTTGAAAAATGCGTTGACGAATTACCGAGTAAGGTGATGAAGTCCATGGATAGTTGATGTGACTTTAGCATTGAAGAGTGTAAACCGAAAATATGGTGATAGACTGACTCCACAAAGTCCTGTTTAGGCTTAGCGCGACTGTATATTGATACCTGATTGGCCCAGTGGAGACCGCAGCCCTTCCCCGTCATGCCCCGCTCAGCTCGTCTCCTCCGTATGGCATTTCTTCGATTCACGCTTAATAAACCCTCAGTAATTTACATCAAAGCCCATCTGAGAGATCACTACCAAGTTCGAACGCGTCGTGAGATAGCCGTCTATGTTCTTTCCTGATCTGGACCCTTGCCGAGGGATTGCAGCTTCAAGTACCCATGATCGACCCAAACCGGTCCACCATGACCGAGGGAGCCCAGATCCCCATTGGGATACCGGCCAGCCTCACCTGTCGGGCCGCTATAGTGCCAGTCGGCTACTCATTGTCTTCGCGCCAGTTACCGATTGATACACACGCTTCCCCGGCTTCTCCGCTTTTCTGGAGAGCATCTTTGGGGATATCACAAAGCGGGTAATGCACCTATATAGCGAAATAGAAAGAAACTCATAAAGACATGGCATGCCTTCCCCCAAACTTCGAGAGTCAACAACCTCCTGGTTGACCTACAAGCCTATATTGGCATACAAGCACAGTCCTTCTAGTCTCGACGAAATCAGAGTCTACTTCAACCATGAACGACTATGGCCTTTTGTGCATCATCTACCTCACCTTCGGGGCCTTCTTCTACGGCTATGACTCCGGCCTGACGACGTCCGTCATCGGGTACCCTCGTGTGCGTCGCCTCTCCTTTGAGGACTTTTTCCCTCTCTTGATGCGACGGTCAATGTTCTCCGGCTGACAGATATCTTTGGCATTGGTGGTTTCCAGTTCATCACCTATTTTGGCTTCGACGCCACCCTCCTCGGCGTTCTCGGGTCCATCTACTATGCTGGCCTCTTCCTGGGCGGGCTGGCCATGCTCTACGTGCCCAACAAGATCGGAAGACTCCGGACCATCATCGTGGCGAGCGTGATCGCGCTGGGCGGGAATGCCATGCAGGCGGGCGCGCAGAGTCTTCCCGTGTTGTTGGTCGGACGTGGCATCGGCGGATTTGCCGGAGGGCTGGTCTATGCTGTCTGCCCTACGTACGGTTCGTCCACCTCGCATCGCATCTTCTCTCATGGATCTCCCCATTGTATCATTTTTTGGACTGCCTTGAATCACTCACTCACTTATGTGGTCTAATAGCATCCGAGATTGCTCCACCGCACGTTCGAGGACGGATTGGTGGCTTATACGCGTACGTTTTTTAACGATCTCTGAGAAAAGAAATTGCAGAGGACAAATAGCTGATGGGCGGACAAACACAGGATTAACATCTCCCTAGCATATGCCATTACAGAATGGATGGTAAATTCCGACCTCGTCAGATCATCCCACCTTTCCTAATATCTTCCTTTTTAGGGTCTTGGATTCTCATACATCGAGAGCGACGCGGCCTGGCGCGTGTTTTTCGGGCTCCAGGTCCTCCCGCCGCTGATCATGCTCGTCGGAGCCATCTGGATGCCCGAGAGTCCGCGGTGGCTGATCATGAAGGGCCGGGACGAGGAGGCGCTCGTGATCCTGCGGCGGATGCACCAGACGTCGGACGACGACACGTTCTTCATGGGCGAGTTCAACCAGATCCGCGCGCAGCTGCGGCTCGAGGCCGAGCAGAAGGTCAACCCGCTGACGGTCCTCAAGCGGCCGTCGTACCGCAAGAGGCTGTACATCGCCTTCATCCTCGTGACGGGCCAGCAGTTGACGGGCGTCATCCCGCTCCAGAACTACCAGGTCATCGTGTACGGCAGCCTCGGCGTCGGGGGAAAACTGCCCCTGGTGCTTGTCGGCATCTGGGGCACCGTGGGCGTCTGCTCCAACATCCCCGGCGCGTGGTACTTTGACCGCTGGGGCCGGCGGCGGGTCATGCTGGTGTCGCTGGCCATCATCATCCCGTCGTCGATCCTCCTCTCGGCCTTCTGGGCCAGCTTCGAAAACAGCGACAACCTCAACAAGACGTACGGGATTTTGGCCGTCGTCGCCATGTTCCTCTTCCTGGTCGGCTACTCTGTCATCTTCAACAGCTTCACATTCACCTACATCCCGGAGATCCTGCCGACGCCCGTCCGCGCGGCCCTCGGGGGATTCATCACCGCCTGGGGGAGCGCCTTTGTCATCCTCCTCGTCCAGGTCACGCCCATGGCCATCGAGCACATCAGCTGGAAGTACTTTATGATTTTTGTCATCTGCACAGCCATCTTCGCCGTGGTATTTTACTTGTAGTAAGTGTTTCTTTGACCTAGAATCCCCCCTTCTTCCGTTTTCGAGTCGTGAATACTTTAGTCACACACCCCAACCTCCTCGCCATGAGCTAATATTTGACCGAAACAGCTTCCCCGAAACAGCCAACAAGACGCTCGAAGAAGTCGAGGAGCTGTTTGGAGATCCCGTGGCGATTCACATCGAGGACGCGGCAAGGCAAGCGGAGCTGGACCCGGTCGCGTACTTGAAGGACCACGAGAAGCATGCGGCCGTTGAGAAGGTCGACGGAATACCTTGAGACCGACCCTCTTTCAGGCTCCCCGCACTGATTCCAAGACACCAAGCTGCGGCCAGTCATCCGGATACGTTTTGCGAAGATACATACATTCTTGAAGTGGCCTCGTATTGTGCTTGAATCCGAATAAGACCCGCGGCTAAATGATTTGAGAGAGAGAGAGGGAAACAAGCCGCGTCTGAGTGGTATATGACGCGTTCGGTGGGCAGGTACCAGACACCCTTGGCCCGTCATTTCTGGACTGGTTCGAGGAAATGCTCCCATTATCTTCAATACAAGGTGGGAAAAGTGGAACAGAAAAACTAAATAAATAAATGAAAGCAGGATACAGCCTCAGAAGAGAAAAAAAAAAATTAGTAAGTTTTGAACTTCCCCTGATATGCATGTCTAGTGCATATCACTTGGTGTATTAGTGATGTACGAAAGTGTGGTGTCCTAAAAACCCATAAAAATTCGGTTGAAAAGCGATCGCGTCTGCTCCACTGTATCCCGCTCTAACTTGGTTTTCTTGTTGGTACGCATGATAATGATACCTCGCCCCGCCGAGGGATCCTGGTCACCTAGGTGCCCGTCTACGCCTGCGACCTCTGATGACCCTCAGTCTCCGCGGGTTGTCCAGGTTATCGGCCATCGTGCAAAATGACCTAGGCAAAGGGGTTTCCCTGTAAGGTCGCCAGAACGTTGGATGCCAGTCCGTGTCGGGATTGCCAGACAAGAAATCTGTGCCTCTCTTGTTCATGTCCGACTTTCGTTGTCTCCATGTCGATGTAATCGTAGACCGGTCAGGCGAATCCATGTGGACCAGCGGCGCCTTGAGTTCGTATACCGTTCGCGATCTTTAACTGATCTCTGATGTTCCTTAACTCTCCTGTGATATTCTGTAGTTGTGCTACAAGTGCCAACATGGATGCCTGTGTGAAACGGGCGTGGAAGGCAATCGTGTCAGCGAAGGAGTTACATACAGTGTAAACTCCGTTAGTCTCGCGTGCAACAATTGCCGCCGTCTGTGCCACAGCATCAGCAGCCCGCCTGTGTGCGACTGCTGCCTCACACCACATTTCCGTGTTCTGCGCTGTTTTCAACGCGGCGATGGCATCGGCAGAATTTCGCTCTGTGACGCTGTTCACTCAAACGTTGCCCATCAGGCAATATCCTGGTGCGTACTTCATTGAGTAATTTGGTGGTCTCATTTGAAAGACGACCTTTCTTTACGTTTTTATACGATGCAGAGCCCTTTTCCGCGAGGCTGACGACGTCGACAAATATGGGAAGGGGCGTTGGCGGCATCGCGAACGTATGAACAAAAGGTCGCGACGGGGACGCCGCTCAGGAAGGAACTCAAGTTACGGGGTACGTTGGCGCAAAAAGGATCTGGAAGGGCTCAACCGAAGTCGCCAATCAGTTCTTCGTTTGATGATTCTGAATGGCTAAAGAAATTAGTGGGGGCGGAGGGATCGGTTGTGACTTGAACTCCTCAGTTAGCCTTGTTACCTTAGCACAGACCATGGACCTACGAGAAAGGCCTGGTAAAGAGATTCGACAAGCCGTCCGCCTCCACCGCCTTCCTATCAACCCGCCTAAAAGCGGGCATGATACTCTCTCAACACCAATTCCCATGCGCGACAAGGCCATTCCATTGTCAATGGCCGACGATACCTCTTTTTGTGACCTCACACAAGCATACGTAGTGATCCTGGTAGTATACATTCGATTTCCCGTATGGATCAGCGATGCCGTAGTGTTCCATCTTATCAGCGACGTGTAGGACGGGTAAGCCTTTTCGAACTTGGATGTCAGGATCGACAACAGTGAGGGTGTGGGGACCTCGATATTTTCGTTGTGCTCTTAAATTTGCGAGGTCTTCAATTTTGGAGGGAGAGGTGGTAAATGAGATAAAGGGTGTTGGTGTCTAAGCTTTGCGATCAATATGGATGGTTAACCAATACTTCCGAGAGTTGAAGGTATCAAGGCATTCACGCTTCGCTCTTGACTTCATACAGCCATCGTCATCTGGTTGGCTTCCTGAGCAGTGGTCCTAGAGTCTGAGAAATGGCTTGTCGAAGATCTGGAAGTAGTGCGTCCGCCATGAATGTCGGTCCTCCTCCGCTTCAAACACAGTCGCTGATAGAGGGTTTGGTAGGCTCTAAACAATATCACTGTCGAGGGAGACTGCGTTCTCTATTGCTAAGACGACATTCGACGGTGATCACTGATCCGTGCGTGGATCTTGACTGCATCGGCGACGACACCCCTCCTCCCGAATCGCGGGGAAAAGAGACGCGGGTGACCGACCGCCTTGGCGGAATGCGATCATTGACATCTCGGTGCGTGATACTTCTTACTCATACCCATATATAAATGATATAGTACTGGATCTTGCGCAGAATTAATTGCGTCATCTAGATCTAGGCATCCAAGCTACCAACACTATGGTTATGAACAAAATTGACCCCAGATCCCCAGATCCCGATGATTCTACCGCCTATTCTGGCACAACACCCTCTGAAACGACCGTTGATAACCTCGACGGATCTGACAATGTCGATCTGAGCGTCCCCTCCGCCCCTTGGCCCGGATCCACCTATATCATCCGCTCCACCTCATGCGGACGCTTCCTCTCGCTGGTTGACGGGAATGTTGTGCTAGCCCACCAGAATGGCCGAAGCTCTATACGCTGGAAGTGCGCAGATCGAGAAGGCTGGCTCGGCTTTAAGAACGAAGCCTCCGGCAAGTGGCTAGGCTACAATGGCGACGCAATACGCTGTTCGGCCGGGGAACACAAGGCACGTGAGAGTTTTGTCGTCCGTCCGAGACCAGAGGGAGGCTATGTCTTGCTAGTGACCTCTTGGGAGAACCTCTGGGCTGTGGGGGTTAAGAGGGTGAAGGAAGTGGAGACGTTAGCGACAATCAACAGAGGAGTATCCCGCGGCCTCATTTGGGATTTTGTCGAAGTTTGATTCTAGAAATGCCTCACCCTTGCACTGTCCTGGAGGCAGGAGGAAGCCCAGGAGAGAATAGACAGTGGTGAGATGGGGAGAGGCTATAGACCAAAGCGCATCAACTCATACGGCGGTGGGAATGGCAGGATAGGCAACACACGGCTATGAAGACAGCTCTCAACTTGATTCATTGACTATCTGAAAGAATCTGCCAAAGGTTACAGATGAAGAAGGACTCCCAGCCTAAGTGCTAGATCTCGACCAATCAGAAGGCAGGTTTGCCTCCCTGTACCTACACTTTACAGCCAAATGCCTTCGCCTTGCCATTGGTTCGCCTACCACAGCAAACCTCCCCCCATCACAGTGGGTCCACTATAAAATTGGGATTTGTCCTTAGCTGGGGACCTCGGAATTGGTGGTCTACATATGCTGCAAGGGACATCCGTGAGTTCGAAAGTCAACCCTCCCTGTGAAAGTCCAACCACCTTGCCTGAATGGCTCCACGGGAAGGGTCGCATTTTGTCCGCAAGAGCCCTGTCTACTGGCTAAATAGGACACCCGATTTCGCACCTGACTGTACATACATAATAAGCCTACGTTTTGGGTACCTGCCCAATCCACTCTTTACTACCTACCTACAGTGCGTACTAGCACCAACCTTGCACGTTACTTGGTCCTTGGTACTTATTCCTCGTACCTACAGTATGTTTGTACATATGTACCCGCCTACCGAGTTGGCGCCTTCCAACTCCTACCCTTTCAGGCTAGTTAGGACTTCCCGATCCGGCAGCAGATTTTTCAAATATTATTATTACTAATCAGCCGGATCCCGTAAGATTCTGTACAAAGTTCTGCATGGGAGGTAGGGACAGTAGTAGACCCTGCATCATTTTGAGGCACGTTGGGAGGGGTTGCCGGGTTCCGATTTCTAGTGTACAAGAGAGCCCGAGCATATGTACTTGGTATGTATTTTCATTACCTGGAGATAAAGTAAAGTGTGTCTCAGCTACAGAAGATAATGTTGGGTTGGTAGACAGGTAAAATATCCTCTGTGGTTTGCTGCGTCGTTCAATGCCCAAGGATACATATATATATGCATAACAAACGAAAATGCATCCCTCTGTGCTCGCTGGAGAGTGCCGAGAACTCGCAGTACAACTTGAAAGATGCCCTGTGTCGGATATGCGGTGCAGACGACAGTGCCGTCCGTTTCATTCTTAAAACCACCATCATCACGAGGCACCAAGGCTCCAGTCAGTCGCCTTTCCCCCTTCGCATCCCGCTCTGCGATCAGCTCTGGTGGCTGTTCCATGCACACTTATCTAAGCACATAGATTGAGTCGCCAGTTGTGCCAGTGGTGTAATTAACCCATGCGTCTGAATGGCTTTCGTCCAAGCGAGCTTTCTTGGCCCCGTCTCGGCCGTTTTCTCGAATCCCCCCCAATGACGCCCCATGTCCTGCGCCCTCCTTACATAAGACAGGTGAACCCTTTTACCGACCACGGAATAGTAAGGTTGTCAGCTCGAAGCTTGGGAGGGTTGGTGGCTGGCCTTTTCCCCGCTGCCAACAAGGGCGTCCCGCTGATACTCGCATGGCTAGAAAGGAAGGGAATCTGCACTACTCCTCCCGGCACCATTGTGGTCTTAGCGTGCCTCGTATTCCCGCGTCTGCTGTTTGACCCTCCAAAAAACCTTGTTTGGGATTCGGCAGGGCTGACCAGAACGAGCCGGACGGGCCAAGGTTGTGCAGCAGGATATATATGGGCTTGAACATTTAGGCTCGAGGGAGGAGAAGGGTAAAGGGATGGAAGAGTGATGAAATAGAAACTACTTCCTTGGACTCCTCAATTCGATGCCTTTTCATATCCAAGTCACAAAGTCATGGTAGAAATCCAGTTTCTCCTCGTAAAGCCCGCGCCGGGCACAGAATCTCGTCGCGCCCGCGAGTTGCGAAACTCGGCCGCACGATCGCACGCCGCGCGCATCACCCACAACAGAGCCAGACAGAAGAAGAGAGATGTCCGCGAGGGGGAAGTTGATGAGGGAGAGACTTTCGATTGCAGTTGTTGTCACAGTGTATCGCCCATAACGACAACTGACAGCAATGCTTTATCGCGCTGGATCGAAACACACGGCGGCGGCGCCATATCTCGCCATTCATTCGTGCGGGATCCAGACCACAATGCGGTCTCCCACAGGCGCTTTTCTCTCGCGGGCGGGGCCCAAGACCAGAATTTCTTGGGAATGATTGTTGGACAGGGTAAACAGGACCCCTTCGCTTCATACGAGGGCAGTCAACTCCCGCGTCGAATGCTTGAAGTTCTTGAGCATGGTGAGTAAACTCGCGAATGCTATTCACGCAGCCAGTACGACCTCACAACACCTCCACACTGAGACTATCAACTAGGAGCGCTTTTAGGACTGCTGTACTGACTAGCCCCCAACATAGCCTACGAAGTTGTCTGGCCAAAGATGGTCCAGGCCGAGGACAAGCAGCTTGCAGTGACGAAGAAATCCTGGAGACAAGCCGCGGTGCAATATCCATTTCTTTTCCATTGCCAGGTCATGGGCGCTGCTGGGGCGGCATTGAGCCTCTGCCAGGATGAAGGGGTAGCCAAGTATCTCTCCCTCAAGCGACTGGAGCACCAGATGACGGCTATCAAGCTCATCCGGGAAGAGCTCCAGCTGATCAACAGTGGGATATCGGAGCCGTCAGATGAGCTGGTCATGGCAATCCTGAATCTCGTCACCTCGTCAGGGGATGTCAATGAGTCACCCGGAGAGGAGGTACATCCAAAGTCGCCGCTCGCACAGGCCCAACCTGTTGGAAGGGTCAAGTTGAACGATACGCATCTTCAAGCCGTACATATGCTCATTCGACGCAAAGGAGGACTGCAGGGGCTGAGTTCATAGTAAGTCTCTCAACAAGTCACCCACTACCGAAGATGGGAAATCCAAATATCCACGTTTGGTTTTGCACCCTTCGAACACTAATGGAAAATAGTGCTCTGGCCTACATGATCGAGGTGTAAGTATTCAAGAGACCATCCGGACTCGCATTTGGTTGACCATGGGCAGTGTCGACATCTATGTGGCTGCTCTGAGGACCAGCCGTCCGCTTTACCCTTGGATCCACGGACCCCAGGATCTGGTCGCCAAGGGTAAGTGGACTCCAGATCAGCATGCGGAGGGGCTCTCAAAGGTCCTGGGTTCAGGGTTGGCGGTGCTGGCGGCCATCGACGTCAGAATACATCGGCTGTACCTCGAAGTCTGTAAGATCACCATAGCCCTGGACCAGTATCAACGAGGCGCGGAAGGTCGACCCTCCTTAGCCGATCTCGTGGACGCGAGGAACAAGACCCAGCACGGCTTCTCGAGCCTGACTCCGGCAAAAGAGACCGACACGGGCGCCTTCGAAGCCCTTTACGAGATCTGTAGACTTGTGGGTTTGATTTTCTGCGAGATGGTGATCCTGCCTCTCCCCTACAACAGCGGCGTCAAGCCTCGCCTCTCCCGTCAACTTCGTACCGCCTTGGAGACTCCTAGTCTTCGCCCCTTTTGGAAATCGACCAGCTACGGAGAACTGGTGATGTGGGTTGTCTTCGTGGGAACAATCGGAGCCACATTCACCAAGTCTCGGCCATGGTATTTGCAGCAACTGCGAGGCTTGGTCGACGATCGGCAGTTGGATTGGGACGGATTCAAAAGGCTCATGGAGAGATTCCTCTGGTGGGATTTTGTGTTTGAGGTCCCTGCCGCCAGGATGTGGAGGGAAATGAATGCAACGAAATTGTGAATGGAGCGTCTGGCGCTTTACTTGGCTGCATTCGAGCCGGAGACTGCGCTACGGACTGAGGATTCGGGCATCAAAATGGGATGAAATGACACCTGGGAGAACCTGGAAGGTTGCGGTTTACTTTGGTTCGTTTGGAATGTATAACAGTGAACATCAATAAAGGCGTCTCGAGGAACAAACACATTTGAAATTGTCACGCCTGCCTCCATCACATTGAGTAAAGTTGCCAAACAGGCCAAACAGGCCAAACATGTCAAATGCCCAATAATGTCTGTCTACTGCCGCAACGAGGAATGCCATGGTCAAGAAGAACAGTTCTTGGTTTCCTAGTTTCCTACTAGAATGACAACAAGCACGCAGTACAGTTAAGATTCACCCCTGTACAGAGTACCATTGCATTGATATACTTGAACGCTCAGCTTCCTTCTTGGTATGCCAACTGCGCAAAACGGGAATAGTAACACATCATCCAGGCGTGAAAGATCCAAAAGTCATAGCAAATAAAATGTCATGAAAGTCGTCCATCCAAGGCGCCCCATTGACACAGTCAGTCACTTCATTCCCATTACTATCAACATGCTGATCACCGAAATTGTCCTGGCGGTCCACCGGTCGTCACACCCTCACTGGGCGGCTGCCCCTGTCTTCGGCTTCCTATAGCCAAATAGTCTCTATTCTCCACTGTGACGCTCTTCGTCATGTGGTTTACCTTGTAGATGCCCACTAGGCGTTCCGCGAGCTCGAACATGTTGTTTCGCAAGGAGATGACGATAAACTGTGCGTTTTTGGTTCGCTCTTTGATGTAGCCTGCCACGATCGACACCTGCAAGATTATAAGTCAGCATTCGAGACACCCATCGGTAAGCAAGCTGGGTATTTAACTTACGTTTCTGAAATCCAGCGCCGCATCAATCTCGTCCATCACGTACAACGGAGTCGGCCGGTACACATGTAGTGCAAATACCAGGGCGAGTGAACTCAATGTCTTTTCGCCACCAGACAAATTGCCAATGTTCTTCCAGCTTTTCTTGGGAGGCATGACAGAAAACAGGATGCCTTCGGAAAATGGATCAAGACTGTCTACCAGTTCGAGCTCGGCATTGCCTCCGAGCGTGATGAGCTGGTACATAGACTTCAGATGCGAAGAGATGGTGGTGAAGCCTGTCATGAACTGGGTAAGGCGGAGGTTGCGAAGATCAGTCAGTCGTGTTTTGGCCGCATCCCTAGTCTTCACCGCACTCTTGAGATCACTTGTTCGGGAAGCCACTTCTTGACATCGACGCCGATATTCAGCGATAACGCTCAAATCAATGCTCGAAGCATTAGATACCTTCTCTTCGAGAGCCGCAATTGAGGCGACAAGATGGTCTTTGTTCTTGTCAAGGAGCTCATCGCGGGTGAATATCTGCAGCTGCCTGCTTGCCGGGGTGGGAGGGGCATTTTGCTCCTCCTCATGTGGTTCTTCATCAACGTCCATGGCGTCCGGATCTGCTTCAGGAGGTGCGTCCGGCATGTCCTCTTCATCCGCCGGCCTCTCAAGCCTTTGCTGGTCTGGATCTGGGGATATCGCTTCCAGGTCGGTGGTATCATGTAACGTTAGTTTGGACAACTTTTCTGTCCAGTAACGATTCTTCTTTTGATTGTCCGCCAGGACCTTGTTGTTTTCCTCAAGCTTGTTCTTCATCTCAATTTCAACAGCTCTCGTCGAGTTCAATTCGGCTGTTTGCGCATCAAGATTCTTCTTCAAATCTCCAAGTTCGTCCTTCATCCTGGTCTGTTGTTCTTCAGCTTGATCCACCTGGCCTCGCAGCTCCGCAGCAGCAGACTTGTGTCTCTCGATATCCTGTTCCAGCTGTTCAAGGTCTTTCGATAGAGATTCAAGTTCCTTCTCTGCGTCCAATTTGGTCTTTTCGTTCTTGGTCTTGAGCTTCTCGTTCTTCGTCTTGGCCACTTCCGCGTTGGAGATGTCGTCATTTAACATGTCAATTCTTTCTTTAAGGCCATCGACTCGAGCCTTCTGAGTTCGGAGCTGAATGCCACCAACTTCCATGATCTTGTCCTGCAGAGCTTGGATCTCCGCCTCCACACTGGCCGTCTCGGAGTGTAATTGTTCAAGCTCCTTGTTCATCGATTCAATGTGCGTTTGGAGACGGATGATCTGAGTGTCGTCGACTGAAGTACTAGCCAACTCGGTGAGGAGATCTTGGATTCGTCTTTGTGCGTCTGCAATATTCCTGGTGCAGGTCTCTACTTCGAGATTGGTCTTCTGAATAGCGGTTTCCAGACGTGGAATCTCTTCTTGCTTCTCTCTGAGGCTTGCCTCAAGTTCCCTTTGTCTCGTCTGAAATGCCTCGAACTGCTTCTCTAGTTGATCTCGTTCGTTTTCAAGCTTCTGAACCTGCTCTTTGGTGGTATCTGAACACAACTTGGATGACATGGCACCACGTGCAACACGAGTTCCACCACCACTCATAGTCCCGGAGACGTCGATCAATTGACCATCAAGAGTGACTACCCGCCATCGTTTGGCACCGTAAGCAATTCGATTTGCCTGTTCGAGATCTTGTGCGACAAGAGTATTCTGCATGACGCTGTAGAAGGCTGGGGCAAATCGTTCATGCTTGGGCTTGATGAGATCAAAGAGTCGAGGTACGTTCTCGGGAGTTTTTATAGGAGACAGATCGCGCTGAGCAAGTTTGTCGAGAAGAATGAAGTTTGCTCGCCCCAAGTTGTTCTTCCGGAGATATTCGATACACAACTGGCCAACTTCGACATTGTCAACAACCATGTTCTCCAATGAGGGACAGGCTGTGGAAATGGCAACGTCGAACTTTTCATCGATCGTACCTAGATTGCCGAGGCGACCGTGGAAGCCATCGATGCGGCCTGAATCCCTGAGCCGTAACAAGCCCTTGAGCACATTGCTTTGATTCTGACTGGTTGCGAGGCTAGCACGTGCCTCATCAGCCTTTTGCCGTGCCGACGATATCTGTGATCGAACCTCGGGCTCACTAGCGGCGAGCTTCTGTAGAGCATCTTGGATTTTCCTAATATCCTTCTCCAATCGGGCCTTTTCGTATTTTCGTTGCTCGATTTCTTCGAGCTTCGTGGTCTTGTTCATCTCAATGCTCGCAACTCTTTCATTGGCTTGGTCTATTGATTTTTGACCGCTGTTAGCTTTCTCTTGGAGGATGTCGAGTTCGGATTGTGCAACAGCGATAGCAGACTGTTTTTGGTTGATTTTGGCGTTCCACGGCTCCAACGACTTTTGCTTCACGGCAATCAGATCAGACAAGCCTTGGGTCTTCCCCTTGAGATCATCCCTGATGGCAGCTAGCTTTTTTTCTTCTTGCTCCATCTCCTTCTCAAGTTCGAGAACCTCTGCACCTTTTCGTTGGACATCACCCGTGTGTCTTTCGACAAGACTTTGGGCTTCAGATGCAGCCAAGCGACTAGAAGTAGCGGTCTTCTCTGCTTTCTTCTGTTTGCCCCCAATAAATTTGCGCTTTTCATCAAACTTGACGCCCTCCTTGTCAAGCTTAGCTAATTCTTTGTTCAGATCTTGGACTTGCTTCTCGATTCGTTCATACTGTTTGACCGCTTTGTGGTACGCGCTTTCGAGTTCTCTAATGGCATCCTCATTACCAGCATGCTTCTCCAACTCAGCATTGAGCTGCTCTTGAATTTGCTGTATTGCCTCTTCGGTGACTTTGTTGTTGTCTTCACATTCGGCGATGTAGATTTGGTACAGGGCTGACTGCTTTTCTGCCAGTTCGTTTTCGTCGCGGATAAATGTCAGAGCTTTGTTTTTCTTGTCTTCGAGGCTATTCTTTTCTTTTTCGACATGCTGGACGCGACCCTGTTTCTCAACGCAGATTTCATTGAGGCTTTCAAGCTCGACAGCTGCTTCTTCAATGGGTGTCTTGTACTTCGAGGTTCCAATGATGTCCTCGAGATACTCCAGCAGCCCATCGTCGTGTTCGTTTGCAGCCTTGGGCTTCATCTGCGCAATGGACTCGACCTCGCCCTGTAAGATCAAGAATCGTTTGTGGTCTAGGTCGATACCTTTGTCCTTGAGCAATGTCGTCACTGTCGTAAAATTCGTCGTCCTGCCGTTCAAGTAATAGTTGCTTGTGTTGTTCTTGAACGCTTTCCTGGAGACCACAAGTTCTGAGTCTGGCACTATTTCGTGCTTCCCTCCGGGTAGATCAATGATCTCTTGAAAGTAGACCTCAACCTCGCAGAAATCAAGATCTTGGTGATGTGCAGAGTTGTGAATCAGCGCCGAGATTTTGCCCTGTCTCATCTTGCTCGCCCTGAAGCCGAAGACGAAGAGCAGAGAGTCAATGACGTTGGATTTTCCAGAGCCGTTGGGCCCCACAACCGCAGAGAATGAAGCATGGAAGGGTCCAACGACTTGCCTTCCGGCATAGCTTTTGAAGTTGGTCATGACTAGCTGTCGAATGACCATCCTAGACTTGGTTCCGGTTGGCTCTTCTGCAAGGGGAACGGCCTGTGCTCTTGCCCGTATAACAATGTCCATTGGTTTCTCTATCATTGGATCTGCCGTTCTTATTGGTTTGGGCGACTCTTGATAGGCCTCCTGCGGCACATTTTTGTTCAACGCCTGGCTGGTGATGTCTTTCAGAGGCGTTCCAGTCAAGATCTCTGGTGCAGCAAGGGTCGTGGTATCGGGAGGGGATAAGTCCGGTAGAGGTGGTACGACAGAGGACCTCCGGCTTTTTCGAGGAACGGCACTCTTTCGTTTTCGTGGTGATGAAGCCTTTGTTGGAGAGGTAGGGTCACTGGCCGGCATGGCCTCTTCTGGGTCGAATATCTGCGAGGGTTCAATGCCCTCGCCGGTCTTGAACTTGCGTGAGCGCGACGACTTCTTGGGTGATGCATCGACGCTGGCAGTTGTCTGTCTTCTCGTAGACCTGCGCGGGCTTCGCTTCGGCGCGGGCGTAAACTCCTCATCGTCATCCTCTTTGATGAGGCTCAACTCGTCGTCCGACTCTTCTACTATAACATTTTTGCGCGCAGCGCGGCGCGTCGGCCGAGCTGGCGATTCAGCCGACATCCTGGACTGCTTCTCGTAAGTATTCGAAAGCTTGACTCTTCAATTGAGGAAGCTGGTTGTTTGTCTATGTTGACACTGACGAAAGAGGAAATGGCGCGCCGAGTGCCAAGCATTGTCTCTTGCTTGAGGCAGTACGGATAAACCTTGTTCCATTCCTGCCAACGATAAACTATCACGCCGCCACGCCGATATACCAGGCACGTGATAAAATGCCGTTGAGCGGAATTATGTTGCAAGAAAGGCCTACTGGACCAACTCGAGTGGTTGAGGGATTGTCCGTTTCTTATGGGCAACAACCCTGCGCTAAACGAACCTCAATGAATGATTAAGCCTGAGATATACAGTCACAAGGGAGCTTTACCACGTCAAGACATTGAAGGACAAGAAGTGCAACAAACCGTCTCATGGACGTCTCGACCTTTTGTCTATCTAGGTGTATCTATCCATCTTTCCCTAACTCAGGAGGGTCTCTATCCCCGTGCAAATCAGCCAACGCGACGGCCGATCTCCGTCCGGAATCAGAGTCACGGGTGGTCGGTTTTTTTGGAACTCTTGGCCAGCAGGATGATCGGAGTGTCTTGGACTTGTACTCATAGACGGGGAAAGATAGACAAAGAGGTACATAGCTTTGTTCAAGATGATCGTATACTCGACGTATTCACCTTTTGTTTGCCCCCTTACTTCGCCAAAAATGCCTGGAACGCAGAGTGCTCAATAACCACGTTGCCCACAGCCTTAAGCTTCTTTCTTCCCTCCTTTTGTTTTTCCAACAACTTCATCCTCCTCGTCTTATCTGCAGCGTGTAGCTTTGCTGTGACATCCTTCCTGAATGGTTTCAACGTTTCCCTGGCAATGATTTGTCGACCGACTGCAGCTTGAATTATAACCTCGAACATTTGGCGGTCGACATGTTCCTTAAATTTCTCCACCCATTGTTTCCCAACGTGCCTCACCTGTGACTGATGCATGACGCGGGAGATGGCATCGACAGGTTCTTTGTTGACCAGGAGCTGGAGTTTGACAATGTTGCTGACACGCCATTCAGCTTCTTCGTAATCGAGGGTAGCATAACCTTTGGTTGCCGACTTCAATTTTCCAAAGAAGTCGTCGACGAGGTGTGCCAGAGGCATTTCGTATTTGAGAATGACTTGAGAGGACGTGAAGTATTCCATGGACTTTTGTTCACCTCGGTTAGCCTCACAGAGTTCCATTACTTTTCCTAGGTATTCCTCAGGGAATGTTAGAGTTGCTAGAACATAGGGTTCACGAAGCTCTGCCACATTCCTGCGCGTTTCCTCGCTGTCAGGAAACTCGGCTGGATTCGTGATAACTTCCTCTTTGCCGTTCTTGTACAGCACTTTGAACGGCACAGTGGGTGGAGTGATAATGATACTTGCCCCATGTTCCTGTCGGAGTCGATCCTCAAAGACTGAGCAATGTAGTGTTCCCAAGAAGCCCAGACGAAAACCGGCCCCAAGTGCCAATGATGACTCTTTTTGGATAGTGACACTTCTGTCGTTCAGCAAAAGATGGTTGATGCTATCTTCAAGATGTTCGAATTCGCCTTGATCCACAGGGAATGCCGCGACAAAGACCATGGGTTTGGGTTCTTCGAAGCCCGGCAGTGGTTTGACTTGGTTTTGAAATCCGACCTTTGTGTACGTATCTCCGATCTTGGCTTCGCTACTCTTTCTCATCGAGGGATTGAAGTAGACGTATCCGACTTGACCAGCCCGAAGGACCCTTTGAGGCGTTTGATCCGGATACATGATGCCCACTTCGCCCACAGTATATTTTAGGCCTGTCGCGAAAGAAATGATCTGGTCTCCTGCACGAAGTTCGCCATCAAATATGCGCACCAATAGAATAACGCCCTTGTAGCTCGAATACCAGGAGTCTACTAGAAATAGTCGTAGTGGCTTCGTGTGATCACCAACAGGGCTGGTACTGTCAGTAAGCATCAAGACAGAGAGAGCGGCTTGCTACCTACGCTGGGATTCTCTCAATCACAGCTGGGAGTACATTTTCCACGTTTAACCCGGTCTTTGCTGACACTAGAACGGCCGAATCGGGGTCCAATTCAAATGCATCATGCATCTGTTCCAATGCTCTCGGAGGGTCGGCGTGAGGCAGATCGACTTTGTTAATGACCGGGATCAATGATAAGCCCTGGGCGAAGGCCAAATAGAAATTGGCGACTGTCTGGGCTTGAACGCCTTGACTGGCGTCCACCAGCAACAGAGCCCCTCCACAACTGGCATAACTTCGTGAAACCTCTGCGCGAAAATCAACATGGCCAGGAGTATCCACAAGATGAAGAAGGAAATCCTCCCCTTTGTAGTTGTAGATCATGGAACATGTTTGCGCTTTGACAGTGATGCCGCGTTCTCTTTCGACGTCTAGCTTGTCAAGAACTTGCTTGTTGGAGCCTGGTTGGATGGTACCAGTCAGCTCCAGAAGCCTGTCGCTCAGTGTGCTCTTGCCATGGTCAACATGCGCGACAATGCAGAAGTTACGGTATCGTTCAATCGGGATGGCTGCGATTCGAGTTTCGAGGTCGCTAGGAGGAGTTTGGTTTGGTGCGCATCGGAAGGCAGAGGTCGCGAAGGACCGCGACAGAGATTTACGCCAGATTGAGGCAGAAGTGATGCTTAACGCAGCTCTTCGCCGTGCAAAGATCTGCAGCCATGGTCGCATGGGTCAGAACATTAGGGTGGTGACGGACATTGACCCTGAATGCGCTTCCGAAAAAACTTGTGAGGGCAAAGGGCAAAAAGGTACAAACGACTTGGGAACGTGCCCGATTATTGCCCCGCCAACAATCAACATCAACACCAAAACCACTCCAATTTTCGCCCAACACACTTTGCTCTGCACTGAACAGCCAACATGAGCAAGATGGCGGTCGAGAAGAAAGACAAGTCGCAATTGCACAAGGTTGCGCTCAAAGGTATGCTCTCATTGACACCAGTGACAGCAATGTACTAATGGGGTGCACAGGGTCATCGAAGACAGTCGCAGAGTTCGTAAGTGCACCCCGCCTGACCTCACACACGCCAAAGACTGAGAAAAGCAGTTCGAATACTCAATAAACACAATACTGTGAGCCATGTGAGCAGACTACAAGTGGATCAGATAGTAATGCGTCGCAGATTTCAGAGAGGTGTTTATCCTGCAGAAGATTTCACCCCGTGAGTCGCAATGAACAACTGGGCTAAATATCCGCTGACCATCACAGGGTTAAGAAGTATGGACTCAACATGCTCGTATCCTCGGACGACCAGGTCAAGGCATACATTAAGAAGATAATGTCACAACTGAACAAATGGATGATTGGGGGCAAGATCTCGAAGTTGGTGGTCGTAATCACAAGCAAGGAGACTGGAGAACACGTTGAGAGATGGCAGTTCGACGTTCAGCTTCTAGGAAAGTCTTCGAAACAACGGCCCTCCAAAAAGGCAGCGGACAAGGAGAACGCAAACCCGGAGTAAGGTACACCAAACGAGATACAGGGCATGTCTAACAAGGGAACAGTGAACCTGCAACAGAAGAGACAGAACCCGAGAAGACCGAGGCTCAGATACAAGAGGAGATACAAGCGATCTTTCGCCAAATCACTGCGTCAGTCACATTTTTGCCAGTGCTGGACGGCAATTGCACCTTCAATGTGTTAGTCTACGCTGACGCAGACTCGGACGTCCCCATCGAATGGGGGGACAGCGACGCAAAAGAGATCAGGAACGCAGAGAAAGTCCAACTACGCAGTTTCAGCACTACCAACCACAAAGTAGATACCATGGTCAGCTATCGATTGGCGGATTGAGAGTGTCAGGTCTCTTAAAGGCATGGAGTTCGACGGGTCTCTTGGAAGTGATGGATTTTACGATAGGCCGCAGAGCATGAATATGAATTTGAACTGCAAGAACACTGAACCCCTGATTAAATCTGCTGGATGCATCGCGTGTAATCGACTTTGATTGATTATGATTGGCCTGGAGGGGCGAGGCTGTTCAGCCTTATCAGCGTAGAGTGGGGGTGAAGTTGGAGAACTTTTTGCGGTCGCCCACCATAGTTTCTCTGCGCCTCGAGAAAGATATGAATCACGCCGCAACAGACACTGCACGCAAGCGAACACTAGTTCTTCTGTCGCATGCGACTGGGCCTCATATGTCAACTCGATAAACAGCACTCGCGCCAATGACCGACCCTCCCTCGTGTTCCGCCTCCCATCCTCGTTCCTTACGGTGATAGTGAAGGCAAGATGGCTGCAGCCACACAGGTACAGGACATGGTGTTGGGAAAAGAGCAAGTGATAAATGACAATCCGAAAGTGATCAAGGAACTTCAGTTTGGTGTACTGTGGGTTAAATGATCATGATAAAACCTGAAGGGCGATTCTAATGTCTGTAGATCGGATCAAGATATCATCAACCAGTCTGCCGTCGAACTTGTGGACCGGCGCCTGTTCGATCTCGACAAGACACGCTCAGATGGAACTCGCGCGATCGCTGAGTATGGGCCACTCGATAGGCGTATGGGTGTCTCGTCCAAGCAGAACTCATGCGAAACCTGCGGAAAACATCTGCAAGAGTGCAACGGACATTTTGGACATGTTCGACTGGTCCTTCCCGTCTACCACGTCGGGTACTTCAGAAAAGTTATACAGATCTTACAGAGCATATGCAAGGCACGCACTGCTTTCGAAAACACCGCTACCAAGTACTGACTTTTCCAGGACTGCTCCTGCATTCTTCTTTCCGAAGCCGACCGTCGCAAGTTCCTGAGCGCAATCCGCCGATCGCAGAATGACAGCTTGAAGCAGACTTCTATTGTCAGACGGGTTGCAGACCAATGCAAAAAGACCAAAGTGTGTTTCGAGTGCGGTGCTATCAATGGCTTGGTTCGGAAAGCAACGACACATTCTCTCAAGATAACTCACGACAAGTTCAAATCCTACAATGCCTCCACATCCGCAAAAAAAGTGCCGCCCCCTGAGAAGGTGGCCTTTGACAAATCGTTCGAGACGGCAAAGCTTACCAACTCGGAACTCGAGAAGCATCTCAAAAAAGCGATGGACGATTTGACGCCTCTTCGAACCCTCCGTCTGTTCAAACGGATTCGACGCGCCGATCGTGAACTGCTTGGACTCTTTTCCGCGAGACCGGAAGCTTTCCTCTGGACATACGTCCCTGCCCCTCCTGCATGTATCCGACCGTCAGTAGGGCAAGAGGCTTCGAGCACAGAAGACGATATCACCGCTAAGCTTGGGGACATTGTCGCTGCTAATGATGCGTTGCGTGAAACTCTGGAGAAGGGCTTACCCACCTCGCAAATCATGGAACACTGGGATTATTTGTCCCTTCAATTGGCAATGTATATCAACAGTGACGTACCAGGTCTAGCCAAAGGTGAATTTGGCAAACAGATTCGAGGGTTCGTGCAACGCCTCAAAGGCAAGCAAGGACGCTTTCGGGGCAATCTTTCTGGAAAACGTGTCGATTTCTCTGCGCGGACTGTCATTTCCCCTGACCCCAACTTGCGAATTGACGAAGTCGCCGTACCCATCCTGGTGGCAAAGAACATGACATACCCGGAAGTGGTCAACGAGCTCAACATCGAAAAATTACGACAACGAGTTCGCAATGGACCCGATGTCTGGCCAGGAGCCAACCATGTGATCAAGAAGGAAGGGTTCAAAAACTCTCTGAAGTATAACAATCAGCTCACAGCGAGTCATCTGAAGGAGGGTGATATCGTCGAACGCCATCTTGAAGACGGAGATGTGGTTCTGTTCAACCGCCAGCCTTCACTTCACAAACTCAGTATTCTGAGCCATTTCGTTAAAGTTCGACCCCATCGGACATTTCGATTGAACGAATGTGTCTGCAACCCTTATAATGCTGATTTCGATGGAGATGAAATGAACCTCCACGTCCCACAGACAGAAGAAGCCCGCACAGAAGCAATGCTGTTGATGGGTGTCAAGCATAACATTGTAACACCTAAAAACGGCGAACCAATTATCTCGGCTATTCAGGACTTCATCACCGCCTCGTTCCTCCTGAGCAGCCTGGACCAGTTCTTCGACAAGAAGACCTTTGTGACAATGTGCTGTGGGATGCTGGAACCCGAAACAAAATTTGATCTTCCTCCACCTGCAATCATCAAACCCCAGACACTCTGGACGGGCAAGCAGGTGTTCAGCGTCTTGATGCGTCCAAACAAGGACTCCAATGTGAGAGTGAACCTTGACGCCGCCTGCCGAGACCATAATCAGTATCACCCTGGCCTACACCGAGATCTCCAAGACGATAGTTTCTTATGCGTTCGCAATTCAGAGGTACTCTGTGGTAGGATGGACAAGTCAACTGTCGGCTCCGGAAAGAAGAACTCAATCTTCTATATTCTCTACCGCGACTTCGGGCCTGACGCCGCTGCTCAAGGCATGAATCGCTTGTCCAAACTCTGCGCCAGATGGTTGGGCAATCAAGGTTTCACTGTTGGCATTAGTGATGTCACTCCGCCCGAGAAGCTCGTCAAGGAGAAGGCTGAGATGATAGCCAAAGTATTTGACGAGTGTAGCTCTTTTGTTCGCGAGTCAAAGGCAGGGAAGCTGAAACGCAAGGCGGGTCTGGACGATGCAGGCACCCTCGAGGCAGAGCAGATTCGAGTGTTGAGTACGGTTCGAACCAACATTGCGGGAATTTTGACCTCTCAGCTCAGCAAGAATAACACGCCAATGATCATGGCCGTGTCTGGCTCCAAAGGCTCGAACATCAATGTGGCTCAAATGGCAGCTCTTCTTGGGCAACAGGATATCGAGGGAAAGCGTGTTGCCGATGGTTTCCAGGACCGAACATTGCCTCATTTCCTGAAACATGAACGGTCGCCTCCCTCAAAAGGCTTCGTTTCAAACAGCTTTTTCAGCGGGCTCCTCCCTTATGAATTCTTGTTTCACGCAGTGGGTGGTCGAGTTGGTCTCGTGGACACTGCTGTCAAGACAGCAGAGACGGGTTACATGTCGAGGCGACTGATGAAATCTCTCGAAGATCTCTCCACCAACTACGATCGTACAGTCCGCAACTCGGCTTCAAACATCGTACAATTTCGTTTCGGTGATGATGATCTCGATCCTGTCGATATGGAGGCAAGTGCTAAACCAGTTGATTTCGACCGCACCTACGCTCATGTTGAGGCGACGACGTTTGATCTGAATGACCAAGGCCTACAGGATACCGAGATTTTCGAAGTCATGGAAGAGATCTTGTCGGCTAAGAGAGGTCTGCTGACAAGGGTTGGCCTCAACAGTGCTGAGCTTCTCTATGATATCGATGACGACAGATTGGTTGACCAAAACGAGAGCAATCGAGCATTTCTACAGTCAATACATGACTTTGTCATGGCAAAGTGCCACGCCTTCAATGAGGCCAGGGCGAAGAAACAGCAATTTGCATTGCCACCCTCCGTGCCGAGCTCCAAGGGAAAGCGGAAGGCTGAAGCGGAGCTGGACGAGGTGGACGAGGAAGCACCAGCTCCGAAACGACGTTCAGGCAGGAAAGGAGCAATTCCTGCCACGTCAAGAGATTCGAAGGGCCAAAAGGCCATGCCCAGTGAGGACCGTGCACTGATGAAGCCGCCTCCGTCCACAAAAGACCGCTTTGAACTCACGTGCAAGCTATCGAAGAAGACACTACAAGCCTTTGTGAACCTATGTCTGGAGAAGTATGAGCGAGCACGTGTGGAACCCGGTCACGCCGTCGGTGCAGTCGGTGCACAGTCCATAGGAGAACCAGGGACCCAGATGACTCTGAAAACCTTTCACTTTGCCGGTGTTGCTGGCATGAGTTTGACAGCAGGCGTTCCTCGAATCAAGGAAATCATCAACGCCTCAAAGGAGATCAGTACGCCAGTCATCACTTGCCGGTTGGAACGAAGAAGAGATCTGTCAATCCCCGAAGGTCTTGCTCGTATAGTCAAAGGCCGAATCGAAAGTCTATTTCTAGCAGATGTGACATCTTATATTGAAATCCGCCACTTTCTCGACCGACCAAGTTGCATCGACCTCCAAATCTCATTAGACACCATTACCGAGCTAGGCTTGGATCTCACGTTGGAGGACATTGTGATTGCCATCCAAAGGCATCGACAGCTGAAATCTGCCAAATTAAGGATCCAGCTTCGCAGCAAAGATGAGCTCAGAATCTCCACAGAATCTGCGATCAAGTCTGCGAAGAGAGGATCTGCAGCCAAGATAGATGAAGAAGGCCAGAGTGAGCGTCTCATTCGTCTTCAGACCTTGCGACGCATACTGCCAAACGTACATGTCCTCGGCCATCCTCAAGCAACTCGAGCAGTGGTCATGGCAGAAGACGATCCAAGATCAGATGAAATCAAGGCTATGCGCAGGTCTTTGACGCAGGGAATGAAGACTGAGCAAGCACATTCCAGCACCGACCCCAAGGTCAAAACGGAGGGCTCAAGTGAAACAACAGCTGCTTCCTCCAAAGCGTCGTCCTCCAAAGTCAAACTCGAAGAGCCTGCGCCATCCATAGCCCCTCAATCTGTGCCGCAAAAAGACACTGCACCTATCCAGATGCACAAGGTCATGGTTGAAGGCTACGGTCTTCGTTACTGCATGAACACTGAAGGTGTCGACCCCTATCACACTGAGACCAATTCCGTCATGGAGACTCTCCAGGTCCTCGGGATCGAAGCCGCGCGCTCTAAAATCATCACTGAGATCCAGGAAGTCACAAAGGGTCTGTCCATCGATCCGCGCCACATGTATCTGTTGGCAGACGTGATGACATACAAAGGCGAGGTTCTGGGCATCACACGTTTCGGGCTCGCCAAGATGCGTGACTCGGTGTTGCAGCTGGCCAGTTTCGAAAAGACGGCAGACCACGTCTTCGACGCCGGTGCTGCGGGCAAGGTCGACCGGATCGAAGGCGTCAGCGAGAGTGTGATTGTCGGCAAGACCATGGGCGTGGGCACCGGGAGCGTCGAGGTGGTGCGGTATCTGAACCTCGGTGCCGATCTCGCGAGTAAGACGGGAACCTTGAAAAAAAAGGAATGCGTTTTTGAAGACACTTGGGAGAAGGCGGTCAGGAAGGAGAAGAAGAGAAAGTGAAAATATGAGTGGGAACGAATCCAGGCCAAAAAACTTTTATCTTGTGTGTCATGATATGCTCGGAATAAAAAGAGTACAGCGAACCATCATTGGAAGAACGAGATATGTGTTCTTACGGTCGAAATCGAAACAGCATAAAGCACAGCGAAATTCCATAGAACCATGTTGGTTGTCACAATAGCGAAGTTTTCGAATCTTGCCATTGGCAGGCGTTTGATATGTACAGAGCCGCCATCAAGCTTTTTGCACTTCCCTCTCCGTTGTCAAACTGCTCACTCCCGACTGCCTCAATGCCCTGTCCACATCCCCGTCTCTCCGACGTCGCTGCCACAGAACAGAATCTGCTTGTCAGGGAAATTGACCGGTCGCCGATAATGCAGTCTTCCACGTCTTATCTTAGCACAGAACAAAAGCAACGTCGAACACCCGATATGTCCAATGCGTTTATTTGAAGCCAGCCTCCCTCGCCCGCTGATCTTCGAGCCTTGCGTAGAAGTTGTCTCGTGCTCGTACGCGGGGTAGGTGGTAGCCGTACCACCATAGGTAGCCGAATGTTGTGCCGAGACCTAGATTCATCACCGTTGATCAGCAACATGCTCTTTCTATGGTGTGTTGGCGCAGATTTTTCGTCTTGATTCCGGTCCATCCACACGTTTCCAATGAGCCGGCAGCGACGGAAAAGAAAGAGCTCAGAAGATTCCCAAGGACTCCATCTCTTTCAGACGCAAGAAGGAAAAATTCAATGGTTGTTGTGGCAGACTGGGTGAGAAGCTCGAAGGGTAGATCATACCGAGGGCAATGCTGATATCCAAGACGAGGCCTCGTCGAAGCATCTGTAGAAATCACCGCGTGTCAGCTTTGAGGCTTCTCGTGAAAAACCAAGCACCCTTCAACATTATCCCCATTCGTTGTTGAAACAAAAAGTGTTGGGCGCGGAGGGGGAGAGAGAAGAAACGCACTCCTGTAATCGGTTTGATCGCCATTGTTCTGATCCCGCTCTGCTCGAGCTCTGTTCGTCTAAACGCTGCTAGACCTCGACTATGAGAGGTATTCGAGGTGAGGGTGAGATTGCAAGACGAATGAAAGGGGAAGAGAGGCAGAGAGTAGCTAAGCCTGGTGGTGGTCTGATACCAGTAGCTTGGTGAAGCTCCTTCAAGATCCGCAGTCCAATTGAGGTCAAGGGTTGCAAAGCAGCCTTGGCACCTTATGTAATATTCAGCCTCGTCGATTAACCTTCCTTTTTAGTTATCGACGCTAGTCAACTCCCCTGCCTTGCGCGACCCCATGCTGCCCATGTCAGAAGAGTGAGTTCCATCGCAGGCAAAGGTGATGCGGAACTGAGGTTACGGAAACTCGCGCAATCTTTCGCTGCGATTATATTCAAGGAGCTTGTCCTGAACGCGCAAGCCAATGTCAACCACCTCTCCGAAGAAGAAGATCCCATACCACCACCATCATGTCCTGCGACACAAACTGCAGTCCATGCCCACCCCGGAACCAGCATTGCTGGCGCAAGAGGTGGTTGACGATTTATTAGTGCTGTGTATAAAAACAATATGTGAAGAAGAGGCTCAGAAACAAGGCATATCATATCCGATGATTGAGTCAGTGGCTCTGGAGTCCTTAGCGGCAGCGATGGACGAATGTAGGTTGCTCTACGACTGGCTGTAGCACTGCGTGTATGCTGACTGTGCTGGCAGTCATGCTCAGATTCCTTTCCAAGGTCCGACGCTCCATGCTCGCTGCCCGGCGAACCTATCCCATCGCGACGGATTTCGAGACCGCCATAGATGTTCTCGATATTCCTCGGCCCGACGATCAACTCGCCCCATACCAGACGCAACCTTCAATCAACCCTCCTTTATTGCCGACGCCACCTCCCGAAGATGAATTCCACAACCTCGTCGAACTCCCGGCATCATTTCTCGGCCCCGGCTTGGACGGCCACGGCGAGCTGAAGAGATTCTCATTCACGACCAAGGGGTTGCCTGAGCTGCCTTCTGCACATACTTATAGGGATACGCCTGTCTACCCAGATCGACAGTCTGATAGTAGGAAAATCAGAGAACTGGCGACTCACGAAGGGAAACTCGGTGAGCAGGCACTGCGCAAGCTGGCCGGGGCCGTTAAATTGGATGCTGCTCATCCACTCGAGACGGAAATTATATCTTCCAAGCAGAAACCTCCAGTGGTCATTCGCCGTAAGAGGTGGAAGACCGGAGTTGATTTGTCAGAGGAGGCAGTTTTTGAAGAAACCCTGCGCGACTTGCTGGCCAAGGAGCGTGGTGGATTTGAGCTGGGACCGATTGTCAATTGCGAGAAATCGTATCGAATGCCGGAAGAACTGATGACAAAAAGGGGACCGGCTAACAATTCTCTTCCTGAAAAGCGAAGCGGCTCAGGTCTGCAGGGTGGTGATGTGGCCATGCAGCTTTGATCCCAGCACTCTAAAGGCTGTGGCATCGCTGGCGTTTGGTTGCTCTCGACATTGGATGGGATAAATTTGCATATGATACCCCAGGCAGATCAAAAGGCTTCACTTTTTGGACCTCCACGAATTCCAATAGGACGTAATCACATTTCCTGACGAATCGTCTGCAGTAGGCTTTCCTTGATCATTGTCGTTGATTGGGCCTGTGGGAGGCGGATTTGCGGGTGGTTTCCAAGCAAGTTGGCCCTCCCAGGCTGTCGTCTCGACGTGAAACACCTTTCCACCTTTGACGCATCTTTGGTAGATGAGTTGTTAGCACCTTTGTGAAATTGAGAGCTGGGAGAGTCACGTACTTCCTAAACAACCTCACGATGGGGTAGCACTCGATCCTGGCCGTCCCGGTGCCGCTCGCCAGTGCCCGCTCATATTGTTGCTTGGGCGTGGTACAGGTATACTGGACGAGTTCCATCAACTCGCAATCCCGCTTGAGATCAAAATCCTGGGGCAGTTTGCGCGATTTTTCCTTGTAGTTGACCGTGAGCGAGCGGACGTGCTGGTCGAGCTCGGAGACGGGGAATGGATGTTCGGGCGGTGCCATTTTTTTCCCTTCTAACTTTTTCCTTTATTGTTGCTCTTCAAATAATCAATTAATCCCCTTTCCAACCGTCCGTTACCAGAGCGAAGAACGACGAACGGATTATTATTCACCACGCGGTGGTATGCCATGGCGGCGGCATCATGTCGGCGGAACAATATGGAGCTCGCCTCCTCCAGGGAGTGCAGGAAGAGAGTCTTGAGCAGGTAATTAATTAATGTCTACAATTTCCGCGCGCCACCTTCCCTTGCACCACCATGCCATCCGCAGCCTTGTTCCATGTCTCCTCAACACCATCTTCAATGGTTGCAAATGGCACACACGTCTAGCTTAAGGCTATCTAACACATTGTATTTTGGGTTCAAATCCTAGTTCCTGGCAGAGCTCAGATGGACGGTCGAGCCACAACCCAGAGCCGTTCTAGGAGTTCCACAACTGGACACTCTGCTTGAATCACTCCGGTATCCAGAAACACTAGCAAACACCCGTCGTCGGGAATGGTTGTCCTCGCCAGCAGCGACATCTGTGGTCTATGGCAGCGATGATGACAGAAGTAACGAGGAAGAAGACTCGGACAACGTCGAGACCTCTCGTCTCAGACCTCAGCCACGAGCATCTGCAGAGAAACCCAAACCTGCAACGGTCGAGCTCACAAGTGTCTCTTCCGCGTCCGGGAAGACCTCTTTGCTCTCCCATCTCTGCGCGATATCAGTCCTTCCGAGAGACATGGGCGGCAAGGAGTCGACAATCGTATACATCGATTCCGACGGCCGCTTTTCGGGTGCACGGTTGGCGCAGATCATGTTGCACCATATCCAGAATCACCAGTCTAAGGCCAGCGAAGAAACCCCCTCTACCTTGACAGACTCAAGGACCCAACAAGTCATCCGGTCCTCTCTAGACCACATCCACGTTTTCCGACCCCAGTCGTCGGCTCAGCTGATTTCCACCCTCTCCTCTCTGCATGCGTACCTCTTTGATGGATCCCGGCATCACTCGATGCATCGCCCTCTGAGCCTGATCGTGATCGACTCTGCCACCGCGTTTTACTGGCAAGACCGGTCCGACCAGGCCATGGCGAAGCTCGAGTCTCCAGGAACGGGGTTGCGGGGCGGCGGGCCGTCACCGTCAAGGGCCGCGCAGACGATTGAAATCCTCAAGACCCTGCAAGAGAAGTTCGCATGTGCCGTCGTCTTCAGCACTGTTTCGACTGTTTCGGCTCCTCCACTTCCCTCGTCCTCGACGCGCCCGCCCCACGAGACGACCACATCCGGTCCCACGACCCTCGCGCCCGCGGCTTCAGACACGCGCTTCGTCTCCCCCTGGACGTCGTACGCCACGCTCTCACTCTCCCTCGCGAGGCTGCCCATCGCGCAGTTCCCCGCCCAGATGGGCTTGGAGGAGTGTTTGAGGGACCGGGAGAAGCGACTCGAAGCGGTCCGCAAGGGCCGGTTCCTCGCGACTCTCGTCCCCAGTAGTGGTTCGGCGCCACTCGCAGCGCCAGCGGCGACAGCGCAGGGGCGGGCCGGGAAGGAGGGCGACGAGAGCGGCACCAAAGTCATCGGGGGAAGCGCGTTCGAGTTCCGCATCACAGGGGCTGGCGTCGAGTTGGAGTAAACGATGGGACGGAACTTGTCTACATACATCGTACGAGGTACTTTGTTGTCACGCTGTCAGATATGATATCTGTCGACTTGTCCAGCCGGAGAACAACCATTCTTCATCAAGTCATTGCTTAAATCTCCCTATCCCTCTTTGAGGAATTCACTCATGGTCTCGTTATTATTGTCTCAAAATCAAGTATATCTAGACGCCCGACGCCCTCTACTTTCCGCAGACAGAGTAACCTCGCCGGCTATATACATCTTTGTCTTTTCTTGATCGTGATCTATGTACGAAGAGTCATCTCATATCCAGTCAGTCAGTCAGTCAGTTCGTCATGAATGTCCTCTTTCTCGCCCAAAGCACGAAATT